AAGATGTCGTCATTATGACGACGGCGGCCTTCCGCGGCAATCTCGCATACGATATTCACGTGGAGACGTTTTAAAAGTGAATGTGAAAGGACGGTTTTAGATTCTTACAACCCCGATGACCACGGCATCAATTGTTTAGCGGAGACGTGCCAAATCAAAGCTGCACAGCCAGTTGCATAACGCTACAGCATCTCGGTAGCCACAGGACGCGCACAGCACCGCAAGATGACAATCAAGTTACACAACAGACGAAACTTGGCCGAGGTATCGCCCTTTAAAAGCTTGCAAACAATACCCGAACTGGAAAGTATTTCTGGCCCGTGTAACGCCGGCCGGAAGTGCCCAGAATACCATCTATAGTCACCGATGGGGTTAGAACCGCACGGAGGAGCTCCAGACATCCAGCACGAGCACCTCCGACAATGCGTCGGTGTCTCGTGCACTTCGAGAACGTGCACGTAGCCAGGGTACGGCGGAGGGCATGGAGCGCATGCTAGGGGCACTCCAAAGACACGTTCTGCCATTTTCACTCTGCCAGCAACTGCACAAGCACATGCAATTGAGAAATATGGGATAACTTTGTTCGTTAACAAAAATACGCCAGAACACTTCATAGTTCTGGCACTTGCCTACTTCACCTTAAGCACGAACAAAGCCAAAGTTAAAACCGAGCCTCATGCCTTTGGCATACTTCTCGCGCACCTCGTCGCCGCTGCGCGTTGTCCCTTCGTTTGTTGCCGCAATTAGCGAGCACTTACTCGGCAGTCCTATGCACCTTTCAAGAAATGCTCCTAGAGCCACCGCCACGCCGGTGGCTCTAGGAGCATTTAATTGTCTTGTAAATTCCGAGTGTTCCGGCTTTTTCTGGAAGTTTCAACTTTAATACCTTTATTCGCGACATGTAACCTTCTGCCATTATCTTCCACCGTAAGAACCACCACTCGTAGTTTCTGCTCGGCGTTTCGGGGAAACTAACAAAGGAAACAAGGTCGAACGGCCCGGAATGCGCGATGTTGTGAACCAGAAGAATTGTTCTCCGTCGAGATAATCCCTAGAGTCCTTGGCATTGGCCCAGAATAGCTCGTAGGGTTTGGGGTAGGAGTCAGATAAGTCGCCTTCATTCGTCTGCTTCGATGCCGTGCAAAAAGCAAGCTCTTTCCGAACATGCTTCGAAGAGAGTTCCTCTTGGGTTCCGTTCAATCCTCGTCAAATGACTTATGTCGATTCAGTTGACTGGACGTGCTGCTTTATCTGAGATGTTTCGCGAGTAAATCTTGCTAGAATTAAGTGGCACCACGTATTATGTACAATGTATTATTCATACATTAAGACTCGCTGTATTCTATACGAGAGGCGGATCGTATACTTCGGCTCATGCGCAATCTGTACGCGACGAATACCCATTTCTCTCGACTATCCTCCGTTGTCAATTACTTTCGATAGTTATATGAACTGAATTAGAATATGAACTGAAATTAGCACGAGATAAAACAAACCTTTCCGTCTCATTCGTTTCGTCGTGCGCGTTCTCGACTAAAATAGCATACAGTTGTTGGTTTTAACCCCCAAAGATGATACAGTGCACTCTCCATGGCTTTAAGAAAATATATGCGCCATAAAATGCAAAAAATAGAGCAAAAACAGAATTGCTTCGCAGCCAGCAGTTTCTGAAATTGTGCCTACACAGGCTGCAGCTACAAAAATCAAAGTTAACAAATGGCGGAGCCAGACTATTGCCTTTCTTTTCCTTTCACTGGCAGCTCCTCATGAGCAAAGAAGGGGTCACATGCGCCAAACTTTACTTTCGCGCTTGCAGGGAAGTCACTTTGCGAAGGAGCAGAAGATATGTTTCGCTTCATGCTCACGAAATGTAGATCTTCCACTGAAATATGACAAGCTGGATGCTTCTTGAACCTTTGGATATTGTGTGCGCAATATAGATATCTGTTATCGCGTTACTTCTATAGTGCGAGCGCAGTTTCAAAAAGGCCGTGAGCAAGCGAACAACACGACGACCGCGATGGCCAAGCCTACATGTGCGCTCTTTCGAGAGATTTGGGAGATGTAAGATGGCGCAGGCGCTGTGGATCTGTCGCACCTGTCGCGACAAAAGCAAGGGAAACGTTGGCTTCTCCCGCAATACTTCCAGGTAAAAACTGGGAGACTGTCGCGATAATCTGTTCCGCAAGTGGAGCATGTACAGTCGCTCTAACTGAAACTGCAGCCCTCTCGATTAGGGTTAGCAGAGATGCCAGAAAGAGTGGCCTCAAACCCAGCGAGCGCATTCAGAAAACATTCTCTTGTCCCTGGGGTCGAGTCTTTCTTAGAAAAGTGCACACTTTAGTCTAACCCTCATTCCTGAGAACATAGAGGGGAGAACTCATGCAAAGTCATTCTGCCATTTTGTTGAAGGTCGGCAATTCGAAGGGCAAGCTGTAGGAGATCTGGGAAGACTTCTGTCGTAACTCTGTTACAGGCATACCTCGGCAAACCTCACTCATGAGGGCCCTCACTCACCCTCACTCACCCTCATCTTCACAGGTGAGGTGAGGGTGAGTGAGTTTCTGAACCAGGAAAATTCATGAGTGTGAGGGTGAGTGAGGGTGAGTGAGGGCCGTGAGGGCGGTGAGGGCAGTGAGGGCCGTGAGGGCGGTGAGGGCGGTGAGGGCCGTGAGGGCGGCGACGGCCGTGAGGGCGGTGACGGCCGTGAGGGCGGTGACGGCCGTGAGGGCGGTGAGGGCGGTGAGTGCATGAGAGGCGGTGAGTGCATGAGAGGCGTGAGTGGCGTGAGGGCCATGAGTGCGTGAGTGGTGTGAGGGCGGTGAATGCGTGACGGGTGTGAGGGCCATGAGTGCGTGAGGGCGGTGAGTGCGTGAGGCGCCCTTCAGATCGAGCATCTTTCTCAGCAATTTTGGTGTTAATGGCGGGTTGTTCTCTAGCTTTCCCTAGATCGACACGAATTGCTGAGTTCGGGTCCGGCTCGAAATAAGCAAGCAACTCGGAGCAATTTGAATATGTTTGAAGCGGCTGCATCCAATCAGGGACGCAAAATTTTCACGTGATACCTCGTGCCGGTGATGATGACACCGAAAGGATTGGTTCTGGTTTGAAATCGATAGTTTTTTTTATAAATAAACTGTTTCAGAAAGGTGCATTAGTATTCTTAACGAGATTTAAATGCATAAAAACACGTTTATAATGCGTAATTGTGTCTAAATAATGTAAGAAAAATAAAATTTTATGATGACGATGGCAAATTGCAGCAATTGGTTGCTGCGTGTGATCGCGGGCGGCCCGTGTTGCTGGTGTTGCGACGTAAAGTTTCTGGGCGAAATTGCCCCATCTGAAGCTGGCCTGAGTGGCGTGAGGGCCATGAGTGCGTGAGGGGTGTGAAGGCCGCAAGGGCGGTGAGTGGCGTGAGGGCGGTGAGTGGCGTGAGGGCTATGAGTGCGTGAGGGCTGTGAGGGCGGTGAGGGCGGTGAGGACTATGAGTGCGTGAGGGCCGTGAGGGCGGTGAGGGCGGTGAGGGCCGTGAGGGAGGTGAGTGGCGTGAGGGCGGTGAGTGGCGTGAGGGCGGTGAGTGGCGTGAGGGCCATGAGTGAGTGAGGGGCGTGAGGGCCGTGAGGTTCAGTGAGGGTGAGTGAAGGGCTGAAGGTGAGTGTGACTGTGAGGGTGAGGATGAGTGAGGGGCTGAAGGTGAGTGTAGCTGTGAGGGTGAGTGAGGGGCTTAGGTGAGTGTGGCTGTGAGGGTGAGGGTGAGTGAGGGCGACCTAAAATGCCGACCTCTGGTTACAGGTTATAAAAAGCGGGACAAGGTCCTCTCGCAAAGCCCTCCACTCTTTCCAGTTTAGCAGAAGCAAAGGCTGGAGGGGAGGCAAGAGAGAAGGCGAATCCAGTCACACCCACTCTACTTAAGTGGACAGAGTGCAGGCCTTTGTGGGAAGAGCTTTTCTTCACTTACAACAAAACGAGCTTGGCAGCACAGGTCAACAATACGGTGGTTCAGCAAAGCCTCAAACAACGCCTTGAAAACATTGTCACACGATTCCTGAACAAGGCTCAAAGAGAAAACATGACAGCTGTGCGTTTGTTGCCAGCAGAAAGTATGGGATCGCCATTTGTTTTTGGCTAGACATTTCCGGTGCTTAAACAAAGAAAAAAGTCGTGTAAGAATAAAAGGTAAGGCCACTAACAGCCCAGGCACAAACTAAAATGTGTGTGTAAATAAGACAATACAATGTCTACCTGAACTGTGTGTTTACGTGACAATAAATTTGATTCGAGTTCATTTTAGACAAACCAGAGGAAAACCAACAAATTCCGACTATATGAAAAATGTAAAGAAACGAAGATTTCAACGTTTATTGAACATAATTATACTAGAATGCATGAGACAATGATCGCTACCTGGGCAAGGAAGCTGACATCCTCTTTCAACCACTGACGCGGAACTTCCAGGTAAAATATGGTGTCAAGACTCAAAGGCGCTCAGCAAACATAAAGAACGTTGTCGGAAGGTGTGCCGAGATCGCGAGCTAAGGCCGACGTGTGATTGTGAAAGGAGGAGAGAACAAACAAATTCCGAGCCGTCACGATCCCAACAAGCAACGGAAGCCCTCAGAAGCAGGAACCACCGTGACGGGTAAGGAACTGATCAAAAACTCGCTACCAAGCTATGAAAAGTGGCACAATGTAGAAACTTGGAGGAAAGCCTCGAATTCCAACTCGACAGCGTCCAGTAGTGACACTGCGGTACAAAGTGTGCGAAAGCGCCGACCTTGACATCTTGGACACGTCTTCAACTTCCTGCTACACAGAATGATCGAAGCTGGGCGAGAAACACCGAAAAATTGGGCACTTAACGTGTTGGCAAGACACGCGAACTTCAGGTTAGTCAAGCAAGCGCACTGCCCCCGTGACGATTGCGCGCAGTGGCTCGTCGGCAACAGGAACAATACCCAACCCATACCGCGGGCAGAACAAACAAAAGCTCCACTTACGAAAGCTTCTCCTGTCCTTATACATTTTGTGCGTGGAATGATCCTCGATGTACCGGCTCATCCTCGTCGGTGGCAACAGTCGGCGAGGGTTCAGTATCAATAATTTTATACAATATTACAAAGACTAGCGCACCATATCACACGACGGATCACAGCAGAATCCAAAACAACTCTACCGGATATTGCGAGGCAGTGGCTATGATCGGCTAACTCTCCTGGGGAAAACTAGCCCAAGCCACAGGAAGTGCGTTACCATGCTTCGCATGGCAAAACGGTTTCGGTTTCTCTTGTCGCTCCTTTTGAGTGAATATATTCGCCTCGTGCTTCCCCCTTCTTGGCTCTTTCGTATGTGGTTCTTTTTACAAGTTTGATTGACATGGCGTGAAGAATCTCTTCACCCGGTACTTATCGACTACAATCGATGATGCTTTCTTGTTTATAAATGAGGATAAAACATTAAAACATAAGACACCAGTTGACATGCGCCACTCTGCAAGACATGCTACAAATCTGCGGGGCAAGGATCTAAACTACCCATTTTCTACGCCCAAGGATCCCGATCTTTTCCGAGACTGGAACATTGCACTTGTAATGCGCCGAAAAACTGGGAGAGGAGAAGACCGCCAGAACACCAAGCCAACAACCTTACTAAATATAATTAAAAAAAATATATATATATAAAAAATTGGCGCCTATCGCGCTAATTTTTCTGGCAAATTGAGTCTTGCCGCGCCAGTAAAAAAAAAAACAAAAAAAATCTTGTTTGTTTTAACAATGTTTAAGGAACAAGCTACAGCACATATTGAGCAAACACTTGCATCAACCAAACGGCTTGTGGCACACCTTTCGCCCACCAGCACGAATGTCTCATAACCGCAACTTCCATAGAAACAGGCGGTGCCTCCCCATGGATGCATGCAGAGTCGTATATTGGGAGAGTTTGGCCAATGGGCGGAGCAAAAGCCTTCACCAGCACCGAATCTCACGCGGTTAGAGCGGAAACTATAGGTGACACAGCGCCGACCAATCAGCAGACCGCGACGTCACAATATTGAAAACGACATTTAAAGCGTGAAATAGAAGCGTTCAATCTCGGCATCTCGGTAACAGTTTGCTCTGGGCTCGCTTGGTAGAACAGCGTCTTAGCTGAGACAGGCTGAAAGAAAATGTGTAAAAACTGGTGCGTGCAAGCGTCTTGAGACGCGGATCGAGTCCAGCTTGGCCTGTGTGCTGGCTTTGGCAGTGCTTTCTTTACCCCAGTCTCAGCTGAGACGCTGTTTCTAGCAAGTTGGCTCCGGTTTGGAGCGCACGTTCGTTCATTCTGTCGTTGAATATAGACGTGACGAAAACCTCACATGCGCCAAGTTTTCAGTCACCGAGAGTTATACCTTTTCACTCTAGCGACGCTAAAACAGCTTAAATTAGTCATGTTGCATATTTTAAATTTGGGTTGAAAAAAAAATTGGGTTGTGTGTATGTTTATACAGCCTAGAACTTGGTCTGCCTCACAGGGGCGACGAGTCTCCCAGCTGTAGATGAGCAATTTAGCCAGTGCAGTGCAACCGCTAGCCTGGGGTTTTTAATGTGCACCACGCAGTAGTGATACACGACCGCACGCCGGTACGATGCTCATCCAGATCGAAACGGGCAGGGGTAGGGCTCGAACCCAGGATCCCTGGGTTCTGCAGCGCGAGCTTTCGCTCCACGCGCGTCGAGCTGGGTGTGCGCTTCAGCCCACTCGGCCACCATCCCCCAATTTGGGTTGTGTATATGTATATAAAGCCTAGAACTTGGTCTGCCTTAACGGGCGACGAGTCTCCCAGTTGTAGATAAGAAATTTAGCCAGTGCAGTACAACCGCTAGCCTGTGGTTTTTAACGTGCACCACGCAGTAGCGATACACGACCGCACGCTGGTACGATGCTCATCCAGATCGAAACGGGCAGGGGTGGGGTTTTAACCAAGGATCCCTGGGTTCTGCAGCACGAGCTTTAGCTTTATATGCTCTAAGCTGGTGTGCAGTGTCGCATATCTAGAGCTCACGACTACCGCTAGGCACTGTTTCAAGGCCTGTGGTTGGCCCCGAGATGCTTGCCTATTCAAACCAATGTATGGCCAAACTCTCCCAATAAACGGCTCTGGGTGGATGTAAAGCCGTTCTATCCAGGGAAAAGTGGCGGCATTCATTGTTGTGGAAATGTTCGAGACACGTGCCACTCCTGGGAAGAACATGGCATCCGAAATCTAGCTCAGTGCTGCACTGTGTCGCCGTGATCCTCCCAAGGACTGCACGTTCAGGGTATCTAGCAAATTATTATTTTGAAATTCCCCAACTTTTCCAGGTTTTCCCTGACAATTTCGGGTGAAATTCCCCGACGACTGTAGAGGCGGTTAAATATATAAGACCATACATCACAAGGGATGGAGCATTGGGCACTGTGAAGATCATTTTGCACGAGCTTAATCCAACTTGCATATTCCGATATATTCGGGTCCGTCGAGCCAGGATTAAATGAGCACTTTCTTGCCACCGACATCGTCAGTGAAGAGGCCACTTCCAGAAAGGCAATGAAAACACGGAGCTAAACCACACATGTTCATAACCAAATGGCGGCATGGCCACCAGACGCACACTTTTGGATAGTTTCAGCTTAAGGCGGATTTCCTATCTGCGGATTTCCTATCTGCTACTAAATCTAGCAGCTCTAACCTGGATCCAGCCTAGTGTCGTGCCCTCAATCCAATCCAAGCCAAGGCTTCGACTGGATTTGTCCGCTGTCCCCTTTGCATCGGGTAGCACTCTCTCTCTACGTCGGGTGAGCAGAGCCCGCGCTCCGCTCTAAGCAGAATTTATTGTCAATACTTTTGCCCCCAAGTCCTTAAGTCTTTGCTCAGGGCACTCAATGGCGTTTCCAACTTATTTTCCCTGACTGGGCTCGCTTTTTGACAATATCCCTGATCAATTCCGATTTTGTTTTCGGCAATTAAAATTTCCCTGACAATTCCCGGTTTTCCTGGTCGCTAGACACCCTGACGTTGCACGTGCCTCGACGCACCTTGCAATACTTTTGAAACATGAAGGGGCTTTAGGTGGACGCAGAGCCATATATTGGAGAGTTTGCCAGTTTATGATCTCGCCGCCATAATGCCCCTCTCTCCCGGGTGAGCCAATCAACTTGCAGCGCAGAGCGAGAGGCGTCAGCGCATGCACATGAACTCTTGGCTGCCCTCAGCTGGGCAGGGGGGGTACGCCATTTTCATTCATTCGTCCGGTGGAATGCATGGGATCGACATCCAAATTTCTTCAGTTATTTCCATTTATTTGGCAGGCTCTGGCAAGAAAATGATAGTGTTATTCCTCGGTGGCTTAAAACGTTAAATGAAGTTTCTCCACATTTGAACACAAACTTTCAATTAGACGAAAAAGAAATAAGCCCGTAGCAGATGACGCATTAAGTGCTCTTCGCCGACAGCGTGTTGAGTCAAAATGGCGGTCATCTCCTCTTTGCTCCCTTCTTGCTCTCTCGCTCCTTAGGCACACTCCTCCCTTTCCTTCACTTTTCTCCTCTCCAGCGCCTTCGTTGCCTCACCCACTGGCCAGACTCTCCCCATATACAGCTCTGGATGGATGTTAATGGCTATACCCTTTGCAACGGGTGGTAGTTTGTGCCACACACCTAATTTAAGTCTGAAAGGATTCCGAGGAAAAACCCAAGGCTGCTGGTCATCCAGCGATTTAAACTGCGCCAAACCTGTCCGTGCCGAGGTCATTGTATTTTCGGGGAGTAGGATGGTATTGCCCATGGTAAAGTACTTGGCGGAGTTCTGGTTGGAATAATCGCATACCTAAACCTTGTCGCCTTCTCCACTGCACCAGCCGAACGCGTTCGAATGCGGAACGCTGGTGTCAGTCGTTTGCAACAAAATAATTTGATGGCCTAGTTGTCTGCCTCTGGCCAACATTACTTGAACAACTCAGTTGGGAAACTGCCATAGAGATTGCTTTCAAAAAGTGGCTTCGATCCATACTCGAGAACTGAATGACGATTGCAACGCCGCTATTTCTCCCACAGCGGCCACTCGGGAACTGCACGTCTGCAAGTCTCAGTTCAGGTGGGGTCGCACAAGGGCCGGTGGCGCCATCGCCCAGTAGCAATATAAATGCATTTTCGTTCAGTGGGAGACACTGCGCGCAATCGCAAATCAGTGAAAGTGTCCCAAAAGTTGGAAAAGCTAAAACAAAACAAGAAACTAAAACGTTTACCTGTGTCGGCAATCTGAACGTTTGCTGACACCCCCGTCTCAAAAGGGGTTAAATACTGCCAACTAATCAACTAATGAACTTTCATGACTAGTTGCTAAAGAGTGGCGCTGTTATTTTATTTAGTTTGGTTTTGGTCAGTTACTAGAACCCTCAGTTGGGAAACTCACCATTGAAACATGGGCTGCTGGTGTCCACCGCAACCGAGCTAAATATGACAGCGCCACCCTTTATTATTTGCCTTTACTGTGGTCACCTCGAACTTTCATATGCATGTTTTCGCGTAAAAACCAACGGAAAAAAACTCTTTTTGTAGTAACTTTTATTGGACTTTAGCCCAAATTGTGGGCACATGATGTTTTTTAAGATATTTAGTTTGCAAGGTTTTGCGGCACAATTAATATTGTTTTTATACAACCATGCCTCAGCGGTGATTTCAGGTAGCGCGTACCGACCTACGTGTACCCTAACTTCGGTAGTAATTCGCGGCCCGTCTGCTGGGGAGACAGGGGTGATACCCCTGTAACCTCTTCCACCGTATCTCTTTCGGCGTCATAATGGCCGATTAAAGCCAAAATAGAAGTCACGTGCAATTCCTTCAGTGGCCGCTGCGAGAGAAATGGTGGCGTTTTGATCGCCATTAGCTCGGTTCTCGAGGATGGGTCGGTGCCACTTTTTCACAGCAGTCTCTATGGCAGTTTCCCAACCGAGTGGTTTAGTAATGTTGCCTCTGGCGTACCAACATGTTTGACGACTGCAAGACAAAGGCAGCTGGCCTCAAGTCTACTTAGTAATCACTCGAACCAGAGCTTCGAGTTCCGACATCCAAACACGTTCTGGTGATGGCCTACCATTAGGCAGCTCGGTTCAACTGGCCCAGTTCCAGCCGAGTTACCTATTGTAGCCCACTATAGCCAAGTTCCCCCCACCCACACTGTTGCCTACCTAGGCAACAGTGTCAGAACCAGCCAGTGTTTGAAATATTAAACCGTTAGACGGCATCGTCGGCGCCGCGACTCTTAAAATGGTGGCGACCTTATAGAAGAGGTCTATAAAGTCTACTTCAATTCCTTTTTTTGCATGGTTGTTTGTGTGTTTAGCTCGAATAAAACTATACTCATTTCCGCGTAAAAAAAGAAAAAAAAAAAAGGAAGTTTTAAACACTGTTCATTCACCATGAATAGTACCTTTTACAAGATTTGGTTGTCGGAGGAAGAAGCTATGCTTTTGGCATCTGAAACCTGTATGCCGTGATAACACATATCTAATCTAAAATGCACCTACATGCATTTTAATTCTCGACATAAAGAGGGAATTAGTATTGCTCTGTGTGGAGCTGGACGCTTTTTTACTGCAGTTCTTGAGGTGAAAACAGGTATAGTCAATTGTCTATCTCGTTTCATGACTTTCCTATAGATATAAAAGGTGGCGATTTATTTTTCCGAACAAAGGTTATTGTAGTATTACTTTGCTTTTTACAAAGCTCAGTCTTAGTACCAGGAACATGGGTGCTTTCTGCCTGCCAAATTTGACAAGTGCCACAAGTTGTTGTTTCTAACAGGTGATTCAAGAAGAGGCCAGGCTCTTTAAATTGACAGCAAAATTCGGTTTCTTAACCTATCGCGCTACGACTTTGTGCAGCGTTGCCCACAGATGGTGCATTTTTTTTTGTAAAATTTGCAAAGAGCGAATTTACCCGAGGAAAAAGTAACCGGTCTTCAAACACGGCGCAGTTTCGCACGGGAGACGAGATGGCGCAAAAAACGCCGCCGACCAACGAGCTAAATACGCCGAGAGCCGGCGTATTTAGCAGACAATGTTTTCGACTCAAAAGCGGCGCGTGTTCCGCAGGTGGCGACAGTTGCAGAAACAAAAACAGGCACGGTAACAAGGAACTGCAGTTTCTTGTCTACTAAAGATGCCAGGTCTCGGCGTCGTATGCTCGTTCGTTGGCGGCAGTTGGCGTTACGACCGCTTGCGCCATCTCTTGTCTCCCGTGCGAAACGGCGCCGTGTTGTTTGCAGACCGGTGGCGTCGCTGCGTTTCCATAGGAGCTAAGCCTTTTTCTTTCTTTACTTTTTCCTCAAGTAAGTTCGCTCTTTGCAAATTTTACAAAAGAAAAAAATGCACCATCTGTGAGCAACGCTGCACAAAGTCGTAGCGCGATAGGTTAAGAAACCAAATTTTGTGGTCGATTTAAAGAGCCTGGCCTCTCCTTGAATCACCCTGTAGAAAGGTACAAAAAAGAAAATGAAACACGATAACAACTTGATTAAACTTTACGACCCTTACTTCAGTTCGGAAAATTTTAGAACTTATAGTTTTTTTGGTTTCAGTTTCAAACTCTTTACGAAACTTTATCCCTTGCCCACTCTATTATTTCTTAAAGGAGCCCTGCAATCATATTTAAGCGTCTACCTTTTTTGCAGTTTCAACTTTCCACGTCTCTTGGGGTTCAGGCAAGCCAGCGGGCACGGAGAGAGTAACTAAATATCAGTGCGTCATATTTTAACCGGACGACGTGGAGACCTCCTCCATCTACGGGGGCGACCCCGCGTTGCCGAAAGCGCACGATATGTGATGTCTTTGGTCCTGGGCTTATTAGTGGTCAGAGCCACTAAAAGCTTCTTTTTAGTCAAAATACAAAATATAAGTGGCACGAATTGTTTCAATTGCATATAAAAGTAGTCTTTCTTCAGTATTTTAGATCAGAAAAGAAACAAATGCAGTTTAGAAAGTATGGAAACAAGAAATGACCCGTCGACATACCCGCCACCAAGCAATGGAAAAGGCGGCGCATACTAGAAAAGAGCAGTGGGATCAGGCGCCGACACGAAAAGATCATGGATGTACGCGGTGGCGCTGCAGTCGTTTACAGACTAGAGGATCCGACCGGCTCTGAGTGTTTTGAAGGCCTTCGGCGAGTAGCTCCGTCTTGCGGTTTGGCCATTTCGCGGTATAGCAGTGCGAAGTGGCTCCCGTTCTGAACTGATCTTTACCCTGTGTTTGCTGTCGTAGCGGCCAGTGAAGTGTCATACCGAATTAGTGTTGAATCGTATAGCAAATGCAATGCGAGTCACCCTGGCTGCCTGCTTCATACAGCCTATTCAAAACATGTTATACTGGCGCCCTCTCGAGCCGTCAACACGGAGTGCGGCAGCCGTGAGCGCTCGCTGAGCTCACTACCCCTCTAGTTCACGAGCACTCAAGCCACGACCAAGGAAAACATGAAGGAGGTTATTTTTTTGCTTGTTTTTGTAATTTTAATTTGCCTATAACTTTTAAAATAAAGCAAAATTCGAGAAAAGAAAAATTGAATAAAGTTACTACAATCAATGCGCTCAGGTCCAGTGCAAACTAAAAACCAGTAAAAAAGTCCTTGCAGGGCCTTTTTAAGGGAACCTACAGCAAATTTCTATTTTAAATGTGCGATTCGCATTAAAATAAGACAAAACATTTCCTCGACTTTTAGGTTCGATATCTTGCTCTTAAGTCGGGACTTTTGGTCCGAGTCCCACTGACGAACAGGTGCCGAAGTTGATTGAATGCTAGCGCTAGCAGGATTCGCACAGCTTTTGATCACTCCTGTCACTGCCCATCAAAGTATCACCTGATTCTGAAAAAAGCATCAATTACTTTCAAAAAAAATGTTTTGGGTCTCTTCCTCGGCTAAAGCGCATCGGCACGCCAAAGCCATGTCGTTTTAACAAAAGCGCTTACAAGCGATAGATTTTTTTTTTTTCTCGGTTAAGTGTAGCGTTTTCTCTCTTTGAAACAGCAGAACAAATGAGCAAACAACCCAAGGTAAATGGAGCAAATGGGGGTGGTTTTGCCTTCTGCAGGATTAAACAAGCGCCAAAACCGAAAAGATAACATTTTGCGATTTCAAAATCCCTGCCAGCTACCATCATTGCGCCTTTAAAGCTGCCTTGTCTGAAGGTTTTTGCCATCCTCCTCCTGTGGATGTGGTAAATATGCATTCAACTCGGTTTTCATAATATTAGAAGCAAGTTTGTTTTTATTTTTTTACGTTCAATGGGTTGCTATTTAGTTTCGGCGCAACGAAGAGAAGAAAGACTGCCACAAGATTGTGGAAAAGGAATTGTCAGTAACGGGACGGCAAGACTCGTCGCTTAAGTGATAAATAGGACTATCCGGGTAAGTGAATGGTCTTTATCGAAGACGCCGTGTGAAGGGTTCGAACCGGATTGGCAGCGTGTGATCGCATTTTCGACCTACGAATTCCACATTGTCGGGACCAATGTCTCTCGGGAGAAACTGTCGGTACGGAAGTCCCCCAATACGGCGGAAACTCTATAATTTACTCCGAGCGCACGAGACGGTGCTTCTTCTTGCATTCGGTCTGTTGACGCGTGGTGACCATCGCTGAGACTCTCTTCAGCCCGTTGTTCCTTCCCCTGCCTTCGCCTCTTCCTGCTCCCTGAGGGTAAGGGCCAGCAGCGCGGTGCACTTCTCCATCCAGGCGGGGCTTCCGTAGCCTGGGATGAGCGCCCAGTTGGAGCCCCTGTGCTCCCGGAGCAGCAGGTTCCTGAAGTGAGATGCCAGCAGGGTCTTGTTCCCCATCGCCAGGCGGTCCGCGGCTCTCGATGCCTCCGGACTCTCCACGATCCACTGCGCCAGATGACCGGCTTTGTCAGCGTTCATGCGTGGCACCTTCCCTTTCTTCACGATGGGAGAAGCCTTCTTCTTGTGCTTCAGCAACTTGAGCGGCGTCCTTTCCACCGCTTTTGCGCCGTTGTTCCTGGGAGGTTCCATTGTTTCGTCGACCTCACTTTCGCTGTTCTCATCGACTACCGTCTCTTCCGTTTCTTTGTCCGGTCGGCAGCCGTCCATTTTCGCCTTTTTCTTCGTGTTCTTGCATTTTGGCATTGGTGTGTCTCCCTCCTTGTTTTCCTCCGCTTCGTTTCCCTCGTCCTTGCCTTCTGTTTCGGCACGCTTCCTCGTCGCCTTCTTTCGCTTCTTCCGATTTTCGTCGATGCCACTGACTCCGCCACAGCTGATAACTCCATCGTCGCCAATCACTTCGCTGTTACCGATTGCTCCGTCATCGACGATCACTCTGTCCTTGCCTACTGCCGCACCTTTCTCACCCTCTTCCCAGGCCACCACTTTGCCGCTCCCACACCCCCCGTCAATAGTTTTTAAAACCTTCCGTTCTTTTCTATGCCTAAACTCGCCCGCAGGCCTCAAAGTCCTGCCATCGCTGTCGACAGCTCTTTGGATAACCTTTTTTGCCTTTTTAGCCTCTGCGTCTTCCTCCACAAACCGTTTTCCCTTTTTCCGTCTGTCACAACGCGACCCGTCGGCGGGTGCTTCGTCCCCTTCGCACACGCCGTCAGGAGCTGACAGCCTTAGCTTTTCGTGCTCCCCGTCACACAAACCTTCTTCAGTTGTCTGCTTCGTGACAGAAGCTACGTCGCCTTCGCCCAAAGCTTCTTTGCGACATTCGTCGGCCGCTGTGGCCCTCTTTTTTTTCCGGCGTTTCCGCTTTGCGACTTCCGCTTCAGCAGTGTTTTCATTGTTGGACGGTTCTTTCGTGACTTCTGTTTCCAAGGTATCTTCTGGTTGCAGCTTTCTGGACTTGCTCTTCGACCATGTTTTGGCAGAGAAGTCCTTGGTTACACCTTCACGCCCTGGGCTGCCGGGCTCCTCCACTTCTTTATCTGCAAACGTTTGGTACATCATTTAACGGACGTCCACGTAGATTCGAATCAAACGTGTTACTGCACCGCGACAGACAATAGAATAATGACGGAAAGAAAGCTTTCTTATAAAGCTGCTTTGCACAGATGCGACTGCTTACGATCGAATGAATTACGACCTTTATCGTACGATGAACGAATGCACTGGCACGCTGGTATCGTCTACGAGACTGACCTGGAGTCGCATTTCACTAGAGCAAAGGTTTTGCAGTATGCGAGAGATCAAAAGTATATATTATCTAAGAGAAATGGTTGTCTATAACGTTGTCAAAAGCTTTCCGAGCCAATGAAGAAATATGCGCGAAAAAATAAAGAAGCGTACAGAAATTGCGAGTGTTTCATGGCTACCCGGTAGATGGCACCAGCGTGTGAACCTGAACCTATTCTGTATGTATGCCGAAATTAGCTGGGAAGTAAAATAGTGTTTGAATGGCAGGGAGAAGTCCGTTTGCTGCGAGATTGTCTTTTATTATCACCCGGTTGAATTGATCCTTCTTGCGTGATTGTTAACCTGCACTCCTTAGTCATCCATCAAACACCAACAAATTTGGGGAATCTTCGGTGCCAAACCAACGAAGGGCATCTGTCACAACCCAGTGGAGGACCAAGGACTAATTTCGACCACCCGGGGAACTTTTGGCGTCTCGATGTCTCGACTGGACGGCGTCTTATCCGCAACGAGTTTTCGTCGTATTGCGGGTACCTCAACCAAAGATTCGAACCCACCGCCTCGATCCGTCGAATGGCAGACATCGCACAAATGACGCGCGTACAACGCTGCTCTATATCGAAGTAGACGTCCATTCAACTCGCAAGACACGACTCAAAAATCCGAGGACATTCACGCCCTCGCGTAACGTGTGTCCCCGCAACAGCAGCTTGAGTCTTTGGTCGTCATTGCGACGACGTCGTCGTTTGCGCGCCGCCTCCCGAGCACGATTTTAAGAATTTTCGCACCGTTTTTGCTTTTGATTTTGCTCTCACTCCTCAACCGCACTTTGAATACGAGTCTTCTCAGTGCGAAAATTGTGGTTTCTCCGCAGAAACCTGCATCACCGCACCCCGTGATTAATTAAGTGCCATACAAGAATTTAAGTCGTTCCATCCTGAGGTATGCAGACACAGTATGGGATCCAGTCCCCCAAACATGCATTAATACATTAAAAAACGTCCAAAAGAAAGTGCCGCGATTTCTTTATAACCAATAAGAAAGTAAGTCTTCTATAATGGGGCTTTATTGGATATCTAGCCAGCCACACTTAGCCACAAGAAAAAGAATCTATAGGGCTGAAGGTGTTGCACCATGGCGGGACCGAAATACCTATAAGCGCCTGTGTGGCAAATGACACCAACCGACCAACTAGAAAAAAAAACAATAAAGCAATGAGCGAGCTTTTTTGCCACAAGGATGTTTTCAAGTACAGCTACTTTGCACGCAGTGTTGAGGATTGGAACAGATTTCCCGAAAAGCTTGCAAACACAAAGACCCTTAACAGGTTTACTTCCTGGATGCAGAAACCAAAGTCACGCGTAAGAAAAAATTGCATCTGTACCATTCACGTTCATAGAACTCCTACAATTAACCTCAGAGATTGTTTTAATGTTGTCTTACTAAACAGCACTCGAGTGTTTTTATTTTTCAATCTTACAATGTCCGTACCGCGAGTGTGGTGCCGGTTTGTTTACTGGCATTTGCGTGCGGTAGTGTGTCTTTTGTTGTTGTTTCGATCGCTATACTTTAAGTTACACCACACAGCGTGGCTGCAGTTGCCTCAACCTCTGTATACGCGGCCAGCAAGTCAAGTAATAAAGTAAGTAAGGAGCAAGGAAACGGACCTCGAGCTGCCTTGAGGTCCTTCATGCGGCGAGCGAAGTACTCCTGGTAGCTCATGTTGCTGGTGTGCGTGTTGGGAAACTCCTCCGCCCTCGCCTCCTCGCCAGTTTCCTCAAGGTTTGCGTCGTCTGCAACCTGCAGACAATTGGAAAGCTCCGTTTAGCAGACACAAAACACAGTGCAGAAAACGATCGCGTGTCGACATACTTAAGGAAAGCTAAACACAAAAAGGGGACAAGATGGACATGCACAAACTTTCAGCCCACAACACCATTTCAGTTCACAACAGCAAAACTGCACTTGAGCACACCTCGGTCAGGAGAGGAGAGAAGCAGTGGGCAAGGAAGAGAGAACATAGGGTGAGGAAAGACGAGATTCGACACTCCCTCCAGGGAACCAGCAACAGTGTTGCAAAATGAGCACACTCCCATTCCATTTCAACTCCATTCCGGGGAATCGGAGTTTCTGACACCACTCCTACAAAACGAGGCGCTGGGCCCATTCGTATTCCTGGAATAGCTGAATCGTTTCACTACATTTCTCTAATTCCTGAATGTGGAAAATGGCTCTTGACACCTACACTTGGTTGCCGGCAAGAGCAGCACAAAGCTGACATCACCAAACACAGGCATCTGCAAAAATATGCAAAATGCATCCCCAAAGCCCTGGTTCTGCCAAGGGTGGTGGTCGCACAAAACACTTAGTGGCACTGCAGGCATCAATCGTGCAACCAAACGTAAAAGTCTCGCAGCTGGTGGCAAACATTAAAACCGCCTAATTTCTTCACGCATTCAAGTATGCTTTCCACTTCTAGAAGATACATGGCCAGCACGTTTGTTTGACGACGCCTTAAGGGTAACTGGAAAGAAAAAAAAATGTTTTTTTAAACAGCCTAACTGGTACAACCATGTCACAAAACAAACCTTCCGCGAAAAAGAAAATATTTTTTAGCAATATTTACGCAACAGGACGTAATTTAGTCGGAGTCGGAACCTCTCCACATTTGAAACTGCCGCCCTTTCGACCCTCGCGGAGAAGTACGCTCCGCCCTTCGCTCTTGGATTTGCTTTTGGATTGACTTGGCTGCGGAGTTGAACGACAAACGCAGCGTCTCGGCTTCCGATGTGTCTTGTCGAACAACCATATCGAAGATACGCCGCGAATCAGGAGAGAGGGGGGGAAACGGGCAACGGGGGGAACGTACCACCGATGTATGCTGGAACCTAGAGCCCTTTCGTTGTTTTTGTTTGGTCGGAGGAAATGTGGCAACAACGCACGTTCAACATGGCGCCGGTATTGTTTTGGTTTTGCTGGACGCCAGACGCTCAGAGTTTTGCGAGCACATCTAGCAAAGACGTGACCGGAGAAGAGCCGCTGTGATGTTTTTAGAAGACGGAAAGTATCATTCGTAATCGTCGTGTGTGCTTTGAAAGCGAAGGGAGTTACAGGATCTACGAGTGCGCAACCACAAGCCAACGTTCACGACAACGCTGTGTTGACTTCGGCGATCTCGTTCTGTTAGGTGCAACACGGTGATGCGACAAAGAACTGAAACGCTCGTGGTGTGTGGTGTGGTGCTTGGAGGTTATGTTGTTTTAATTGAACAATGGACTCCGGATTGTTGTCCTAAATCTGTCGCTTTTATGCTTTGTGTTGGACTGCGTTTGCACAGCGACGTGTTTGCACTGCGACGCACGCCGGTTTTACAGAATTTCAGAAGAACTTAAGTCACCACCGTTATTTTCTTGTAAATCTCGTGTGAGTTTGTTGCGCTCATCATGCGGTGTGAATAAATTTGGGCAATATTTTCTAACTGCCCACAGATGCGTGAACTGAGACCAATTTTTATGTAGTGAACATAGTGCTTTTTCTTTACTTTGAAAAAAGGCGTTGGTGCATTTATTATGGTACAATCACTTGAAAGTTCAGAAATTGGAAAGGGCAAGCAAGCTTTCCGAACTTTGTCACTTTTCTCTCTGGCAATGCCCCTAGTTTCAAGTTGCAGTTTCAGTAGACATACCTACTAGCAGGTACCAGTGATGTGATTGGCCTAAGCCATTTTGGAGCACCTTTCGGAGCAGCCAAAACAGTGTTTTGGAGCAGCAAAAGTGGCTTTTGGAGCAGCCAAGACACTGTTTCGGAACAGCAAAAAGTGGCTTTTGAAGCAAATATTCTTCGAAAAATAAAAATATTCGTTTTTAGTGCTGTACATACGAAGGAAACATTGTGATGCGTTGAGTTCTGATGTGGCGTGTTGTGACGGAACTCGCTGCTTGTGTTTTTACTGCTGAGACATCCCACAAGTGTACAGTGCTGTAGGCGTTGCCGAGCAATTTCTAAAAACCGCTTGCCACCATTTGACTGATTCCCGACGTGCCAGATTTTCTTCAAAAGTAAGCAAACGTAAAATAATGGATTGCAAGCGTCCCGGCTGGTGCTTCTGTCGTGCAATCATGTTCGCGTGCACGTGAGGCCAACTTCGGCAGGATCGCACTTGCGCGTGCTTCGTCGCGCGAGCTGAGACAACGGCTGTTCGATCGAAACCGAAACCATGTCACTCCGCTCCGTCGCCAACTGATCCCCAAAATTGTATGCAAGATGTAACTGTCGAGCATACGTCAATAAACAGTCCAGTGGCGTGTGCTTGCCAGGCCGGCAAACAAGGTACAAGCTAAACATACAAAAAGAAAAAGGGGAAAAACACCTGAGTTATCGATGCAAGACATCGCGAGCCAGGGTCAAAAAGTTCTTGGAGCGCTTTGTGCAACAACTGAACTCGAGACAAACAAGCACGCAGTGCAGGTTCAGCGTGTAGACATTGCCTTCTTTGCTTTAGCTAACTTCTTTTCATCAACCTTCTCTTAATTCTCATATTCCGTCAATAAAAGTTTTTTCTCTCTCTCTCGCGGCAGGTTTTTCACGTACCGGGGTCCCCCTCGAAAGAAAGCCCACTCAGAGAAACCTACGTAATCCATACTTCGACACAGCAGTCTTTGAGTTAAAGAGGGATTTTTGTAGTAACGTATGATTTAAACAAGAACAGGAATGTTGAACATGCAGCGGTACTAAGTTTCATTTTAGAAAGCGCCATATCTGCAGCTTCGAGGGGACGGCAAGACCCAGCGTTGCGCGACCACGGTGACTGGAAGGCAGGGACCAAATATAGTTTTCCCAAGGTCGTTGCTTTCAGGAGAGAGTGCTTCAGCTCACAAAGTAACTCCCGCCGCGCAAAAATGAGGGTTTTGTTTGACGGCATGACTGGTACCTGGCACGCTACCGTCGGAGCATTCTGCACACACCCGCGTCTATCGTAGAAAAAAAAAAAAGGCGCGAGACGAGATTTACGAGACGAGAGCGCGAAACGCGAGATGGCGAGAAAACCATGCAAGACCGGCTGGACGATTAATGCAGGGTACTTATTGTCGGGCTCAATGGCTCAATCGCACATGCTCAATTACGGTTCTCAGTTCAGTTTCGGTTTTGAAAGGCAACCGAAATTGGTCCTTTGGCGCAGGCTTGGCGCAGATTACCCCTATTTTAGCAAAATGTAGCAGGATGTAGCAGGGTTAGCCCCTTGGCGCAGTTTGGCGCAGCAATCACATCACTGAGGTACAAACTGCCCTGAACTAAGTAAAAGACTGGTAAGTCAGGAAAATGCGGACTCCAGTGATGGGATTGGCCTAAGCCATTTTGAAGCACCTTTTGGAGCAGCCAAAACAGTGTTTTGGAGCAGGAGCAGCAAAAATGGCTTTTGGAGCAGCCAAGACAGGGTTTCAGAGCAGCAGAAGTGGCTTTTAGAACAGATATTTTTAGAAAAATAAAAATATTTGTTTTAAGTGCTCTACAAACAAAGGGCCCTTTGTGTTGTGTTCTGATGTGACGTGTCGTGACGAAACTCGCTGCTTCTGTTTTTACTGCTGAGACATCCCACAAGTGTACAGTGCTGTAGGCGTTGCCGAGCAATTCCGAAAAACCGTTAGCCACCGTTTTACTGGTTCCCGACGTGCCAGATTTTCGTCAAAAGTAAGCAAACATAATGCAATGCATTGCAAGCGTCTCGGCTGGTGCCTCTGTCGTGCAATCATGTTCGCATGCATGTGAGGGCAACTTCGGTAAGCTTGAAGTTGCGCGCGCTTCGTCGCACGCGCGGACAACGGCTGTTTGATTGAAACCAAAACCATGCCACTCCACTCCGTCGCCAACTGATTCCCAAAATTGTATGCAAAATGTAACTCTCGAGCATATGACAATAAACAGTGCAGCAGCGCATACTTGCCGGGCCGGCAAGCAAGGAAGTATAAGCTAAACACACACAAAAAAAGAACTTGAGCGCATCAATGCAAGACATCGAGAGCCATGGTCAAAATGTTCTTGGAGCGCTTTGTGCAACGACTGAACTTGAGACAAATAAGCGCGTTGTGTGGGTTCACCTTGCAGACATTGTCTTCTTTGCTTTAGCTCACTTTTCTTCACCAACTTTATTTTCCAGCAGATTTTTCACGTACCGGGGCACTTCTTGAAAGAGTGCCCACCGAGAGAAACCTAGGTAATCAATACTTCGACCCAACAGCCTCTGAGTTAAAGAGGGATTTTTTTAGTAACATATGATTACAACAAAAAGGGAACGTTGATGAACATGCGGCGGTATACTAGTTTCATTTTAGAAGCAGCGATGCGGGGACGGCAAGACCCGACGTGGCGCGACAACAGCGCCTGGAAGGCAGGGACCAAAAATAGTTTTCCCACGGCCGTTGCTTTCAGGAGCAAGTGCTTCAGCTCACAAAGTAACTCCTGCTGCGCAAAAACGTGGTTTCGTTTCACAGCATTACGACATGGCTGGTACCCCGCATGCTAGCGTCGGAGCGTCCGCACACGCCCGCGTCCATCGTTGAAAATATTAACAAAAAAGACGCGAGACGAGGCCCACGATACAACGAGAATGCGAGACGGCGGGAAAACCATGCAAGACCAGATGGACAATTAATGCAGTGTACTTTATGTCGGACGGCTGCTTGCGCCACATAACCTATGCATGCTCACTTTTGGTACCCAGTTTAGTTTCGGTTTTGAAAGGCGACCGAAATTGGCTTTTTGGCGCAGGTTTGGCGCAGATTACACATATTTTGGCAAAATGTAGCAGGATGTAGCAGAGTTAGCCCCTTGGCGCAGTTTGGCGCAGTAATCACATCACTGGGACTCCCTTGTTTCACGCCTTTCGCAAGGTGAGTGGGGAAGTGCTTTTGCGAGGTATGCGGAATATGCAAACAATATTGTTATGCCCGTCGTTTGGGTCTCTCCAGCAAAACGAATAAGATGACCTACAGAGGCGCAATCACAAGGCAAAATTTACGATAACAGCACTCATTCAATTCAAACAACTTTACACAAGGTGGTTTAGAAGCCGAGAAAAATCTGTCGGCTAACGCAGAATTTGGACGTCCGAAGGCTTCTGCGGACTGCTGTTACGTAATAACCTGGCTGTGCCAGGTTTTTTACACAACAGCTGTGTCTCAGTTGCGGGCATTCGGTGCACCCGGTGCAAATCTCGAAGGCCTTCGGAGCAAAATGCGAGAACCATGCCTGAAGACGTTTCTCGCTACGCGAACACCCGATTGCGTCGAGCCAAATAGCATTCATCTTTTGGGGTGACATGGCTGCTGGAAGACAGGCTGTTGCAATAACTCATCTGGGTGCAGTTGTGCCGACATCTGCAAAAAGTCAACATTTGCACACGCAAGCAAAAAAAACACGCCAAGAAAGCTAAGTAACAACGAAAGTAACAAACCGCGCTATGAAAGCCAAAACACTGTGTCGCTTCCTATCACTAACACCTGTGACAGGTGCTAAGCACACACTACTTCACTTCAAGAAGTCTCACTCAAGCACCTGGGTCAGCACGAAACACTTATCATTTCGGCGAAACGATTAGTCGAGGTAGGCGAGACAGGCGGGAGCAGAGACTTTGGCGGCCATGAAAGTATGGCGAAGCTTTTGTTTGTTATGGTATGAATCCAAACGGAAGTGCCCCTCTTATAAACCTTTTGTAAAGAATAATAACTCCCATCACATGGGTTATTCTTTAAAAGTAAAAATATGCCGCTCAAAAGGAAATTACAACACATCACAAAGGTTTAACAACCAAGATCTAAGCTGTCAATCAATCAATAGCCCATGAGAAGAGTTGCTATCGGACGTTGCTCCGTGACGTATAGCAGCCACCCCGTGACGTATAATACCCACTTTGTGGCGCGCGATTTAAAACGGACGAAATAGCTGCAAACTAAAATCAATCTCAAGCAATAAATATCACGTAAAATTTTTTTTTTTTCGTGGAAAAATTGTTTTGAGACATCCTTGTCCCAATTAGGCTGTTTAAAAAAAAAAAACTTTTTTTTCTTTGCAGTTACCTTTTAAAAATATATGGTTTGGGCGTGGCACAAAAAGCTATTATGCCGTCTGCTTTGGATATATACTTGTACAAGAGCACCACTAGTATGCCGTCAGAAGCGCCGCTGCATACATCTGCACCAAATCTCCCTGCACTGCGACAAGAACACAAAATCGCTGACAGAGTGCGATAACTGGGATGCCGGCATGCGGGACTCTATGACAATATCATGGAACCTGCCTTAAGGGAAGACGCTACCCAAAAAAAAAAAAAAACTTCTGCAAAAAAAAAATTTGATTTTGAAAAATGTGATGTGTACATCTACCAACACCTAGAGAGCATTCACAAAAAGTTTTATTTGTTTACACTGCATAGGTATTTTTTCCTAAAATTATTTTCGGTCCACCGATGCCAAAAAAAAAAAAAGGTAGAGGTTTCCCTTCCTGCAGATTCACCAACGACGAGCAGGCATATTCGACAAGTTGGCCTTTGCCGAATAGGAGTTTAAGAAGTTGACTGAATCCCGCTCTGGAAGGTCTATCGATTCCCGAACATTCTTGTATTGCAAGTCATCATCGCGTGACCCCTGAGCAGTTCTTCATCAACAGACGGTTTTCACGCGAGAAAACAATGTATTCTGAGTGAAAAGCAAAACTCCTCGGTTATTGAGACCTCGCAGGAAGTGTTCCTGTAAAACGTAGACACGCGTAAACAACTCGTCACAGCAGAGGCCCTAACAGAAAGGTAGCAGAAACCAATGAAATCCCACGATTTTAAGAACAGCAGCGTTCAAGCAACCGCAGGTACAAACAGGGAAGAAGAAAAGACCAGCGCACCTTGTCCCGCTTGCGCTTGATGATGATGGCGTCAATGTCTTTCTGCTTCTTCTGGCTCAGGTCCTTCCCCCGGAGGAACTTGGAGTAGCTGCAACCCAAATGCAACACAAACGCCAACAATCAGCAGGCGGACACGGTAGAATGCGTTTTGGGTAAAGGATTCGGCATTCAACCGAATCCTTTAAATTGGGCTGTATCTCGCGTCGCCTGGCCAGTGTTTTTAATATCAACGATTAACCTTACCTATTATGCAAAATATTGTATATTAGGAAATGCTCAGTACCAACCATTCACAAGCCTGGAAGTGAAGACTCCCTGTTCCATCCAGCTCTAGCGTTATGGATGCTTCACAGTCGTAACGTTGGATATGACTGTGAAGCTCCATATATGCCTGTTGACTTCTACCACGAGCACAATAAGGGCTCATTCACACTGGAAGCGGATCCGCGTTCGCAAAGCGGTTGCGAACGCGGTTGTATAAGGATTCAGTACAATTGCACGCGCACACGATGACATCAAATGCGCGTGCAATTGCACTGGATCTTTATACAACCGCTTTCGCAACCGCTTCGCGAACGTGGATCCGCTTCCAGTGTGAATGGGGGGTAACTGTTGCCAATTCATCCATACTCGTGGCTCGGCAACTTAAAAGTCCCGAGCTGTGCAAATTATTGACCGTCGCAGCTGTAATTTTAACGTACAACGTGTTATTTGGCAAGCTCCTAGCAGCGTCCTGTAACACAAACCCTCCTAATGTACAATCGTGTAATGCAGAGGCAGCACACGAAAGGTTGCCAATTAAAAGTAGCACCAGAGAAAACGTGGAAGCATTCGGTTCCAAACCGAATGCTGCTAATCCGATCCCGAACCTACTGCGCCAATGCACGTGGGAAAAGTGTGTTTCAGCTGTTGCACATGTGCTGGGAGTCTGCAGAAAGCAAGGGGTAAGAGAAGGAACACAAGCTTTGGAGGAAATGGTGAGACACGAAATATCGGGGTCAATGCGGTTCTTTGCCCCATATTTAAATGGCGGCATCTACCGAATCGCTGTTGAACGGGTGAGGTTCAAAGCCCAACGCTTGGCTGGCCAGCAAGAGGTCGGCATGTGGCGACAATCTACCGTATTGACACGAATGTAGGTGGACCCATTTTTCAATTTTTGAAAATCTGAAGTTGGGGGGGTTGACTTATAATCGAAGCAAAGCATTCCACCGCCGACAAAAACGAAACCATCTCGATATCAAGAACACCTTAGCTTGTTACAAATTCAGCCGGCTGTACCTGTGGCAATGCGCTGTTCCATGTGCTCTTTTACAAATTTTTTTTTTCTTTTTTATTTGCGCGAACGAGTATTATTGATCGCGATTCACAAATTAACTTGAATGTACAACAGTGAACAGCGACGGTGCGACGGCGCGCCCAACTGCCGGGGGTGGCGGCACTTCTTGTAAGAGCCACTTCCGAAACTGCTGGAACAGCCTCGCGGCTCACTCCCTGCGGCTTCATTTTCGCAGCTGTTTGCACGATTCACAGTAGCACGTTGTTTGATCGAGTGTCGAGGTCATGCTGGAGCGCTAACTACGTTTTTTTTTTTTTTGTATTGACACGCGTGATCCGGGCAGTTTAGGTTTTCGGTGTTCGTTTGTGGCCATCCATCACCCAGAAGCCACTAACTGCGCCGTTGGACGCAAGTTCGACCCGACGGAGCGGGTGATGCTCCAGTGGAGTCCGCAGTGGCGCGGGATCTTAAACTGGGATAAAAAAGGAAGAGGCTTTTGCAGGCCAAAGTCTGGATAGGTGGGGATGCCTTCCAGAGTTGAAGGTCAGGCTTGCATCATACGCCGCAAAAGTGTGCAATCAGCCCCTACCCATGACGTCCAACGCGATCGCCGAGCAAGCGCAGAAGATGCGCTGATGCTGTAATTTGCAAAGTGTGAGATTCCATGTGACGCCAATGACGTGCTTCGAGAATGTAGCAGTGATGACGACAGGACTAACATCATTAGCGCAGACGAGTCGTAGTCTAGTTGCGGACGGAGTGAGAATGACAGAGAGCAGTTTCAGCTGTCCCGCCTCCAGCGTGAACTTCCTAGCTTCGATAACGCCTGGGCAATGATGATGATGATTTGGGGCTTTATGGCTCAAGATCCAGTGTGAACTTCCTAGTTTCGATAATGCTTGGGCATCTTATGCACCTCCTGCGTGCATGCGCAGCCAAAGCGCACCAGAAGGCATTGATCACGTGTTGGAGGCTGGGCTTTCAACAAAGATACTTTCTTGTTCTCACGTGTTCGCAGTAAAATGCGCATCTATTTTTTTTTGCTGAGGTTGATTTACAATTGTGTAACTATGGTAGACAGCGTATCGGGAGCGGTGTCTAGAGTAAGTCATTGTAGCGAGACTTCGAAAAGCGAGTGCATCGGGCGCCCTACGCATGAATGCCCAGAATGGCACAGGGTTAAAAAGGCCATAGAAGCTCCGCTCCAACATGCGTTCATTGCCTTCGGTCATGCCATGACTGAAAGTGCGCGTCAAAACTTCTTTGGGAGTGCCTATCATATCAAAAGTCAGCTACAACAGCGGACAGACAAAGCAGACCACGGGCAGGGAGTGGGCGTAGCCCAAACCTAACGTAGCCGACCGAGCACCGAGCAGACGATGCTTTGGTGCGCATGACAGTCTGGGATTGAGTTCTTTTTCCGGCGCCACTGAGCACGACGTCATGCCGGGTCCTGGAATGCCTAAAAGTCCTTGGACGTCACATACAACGGTGTTTGTGTTGTCAAGGCAAAAAAAAGTCTACCAAATTCGTCCCCGACACATTGCTACAAAGAAACATGCAATAAATACATTTTGCATTACCATTGCCCTTTGCCAAGATAGTGCAGGTAAAGAGTTAGCTTTTGTCATATCTCTGTTTTTAGTGCTGCGTATGCATTGTTTGAACAAAATAATCCCGCTTAAATGTTCCACGGAAGACATAGGTACCGTATAAATAGGGTTCGGCATTTTCGAATAAATCCAACAACATCCTAAAACATTCGCAGATAAAATATTATAGATTTGGATTTAACCAAAAAATCGCCTAATTTGAGGACTGCTAGTTGCAAGAACTCTGCTTTCATGTTTTCCTAAAAAGAAGCGTCGCAAAGGGACGTAGTATGTGAACCCTCACTACAAAAAAGCGGGTAACCTTCCTACGACAGCGGTCAAACACTTTTATCTTAGGAAAATTCTAAATAAATTTGTTGTCTAGCGTTTCCTACCTGGACCTACTACACTGAACCCCTGATCTCTATGACAATTTGCTGGACCGCACATCCCCGCTTGGTCGCTGCAGCGCGAGTGTGGCCACTGGACGGCCATCTTGCATGCGGCGAAATCGCCTTTTTCCGAGCGTTGCAGAGGCTGTTGGCAACGCGCTGAAGACACGTTTTATACTCGTTCGTCGTCATTTGCTGAAGAAGTTTCTTAAACCCTCGTGAAAACGGAGACTTGCCTTTGAGAATTTGTGGAAATTTTTATGAAAGTGCAGCGCCGCAGGAAATTGGCACAACTCGTCGAAAGCCAGTTTCGCCGGTCTCGCGGCATGATCAAAGCTTTCTTGGCACGCTGAAGTGCTGCGTCTCTGTGCCCTCGCACGCTTGGATACCGGTCAAGAATCGAAGCCGTGTGGATGTGTTTTGCGAGTGCAATGTGCGTCAAGCCGTATGGTCTCTGGAGCAGCGTTTTACTTTACTCTGACGAGTGTATTTGTAAGTTACGGCACTCGTGATCCAGAAAAGAGCTTGATCCAGTGTCTAGTGGCCACGGAATTTTTAACCCTTAAGGAATTGCGATTAGTCAATAAATTGCACACAAACATATGGGTTGCATTTAAAAAATTTCATATCTTGCCGTCTTGTACCTTTGTCTTCAAAAATCTTCCTCGAGCCACAGCCTCCCTTTATTTGTTGTGTTATATGATCCACTAGAGTAGATTTGGAACATAGCCGCGGTTAATAGTCCACAAGAGCAACCGTACAGATGTTTTCCCACTCTTTATTGATAGAGAATCGCCTGAACAGCTGGACGATCCACAACTCCATGGCCGATGTAAGATGCAAAGACATCTACACGTGGCACACCTTCAAAACTTTGCCACGGCATCGATTCTTGATCGGTATCCAAACATACGAAGGCACAGAGATGCAGCACTTCGGCGTGCCAAGGAAGCTTTGATCACGCCGTGAGACCGGCAAAACATGCTTTCGATGAGTCGTGCCTTTGTCCCACGGCGCTGCACTTTCGTAAAAATTTCCACATATTCTCAAAGGCAAGTCTCACCATTTTCACGGGGGTTTAAGAAACTTCTGCAGCGAAAGACAACGAACAAGTGGAAAACATGTCTTCAGCACACTGCCGCCAGCTCCGGCAGCTGCACTTGCAGAGCGGGGAAGTGCGATCCAGCAATTGTCATAGAGATCAGTCCTCTGAACATTCTAAAAACTAGGAATTTTTGTGAACAATAAAGGAATGCCTTGAAAGAAATCTAAATTTGAAGAGAAAAACTAAAAAATTAACATCCTCCGATTTGCTAAAAAAAGAAACTTTGCAGACACGTAACCTTATGCACGAATAACAACAAGAACGAGCAACACCCACTGGACCCTGCCGCCGAGACGACGGGACCTCTCCTCAATAGACGACAGCTGCTGCTGGTCCTCGGGTGGCTTTCCGCCGTTGAGGGTGGCCAGGAGGTCGTCGAAGGCCTCCTGGTGCTCGATCCACCTGTCGTCGACGCCGTTGAACCCGATCCCTGCAACGGGGCAAAGAGAAACTGACAGCAACCTTCCCCTCCAAGTCCAATAGGACAGTTACACCCTTTCACTCCCAGTAAATCGCATTCCGCCGTGACGATGAACGGCGTCTGCACTCTACCCACTCGTTTGCATTCGGAAGATTAATTAGTTGCCTCGTATTGCTTTTGGTGAAACGCGCAAGCGTGAAAAGTGATCCGTCGTCGACGATGGAACTCGGTAAGTAAGCGAGACATTGCCACCAACGCGATGACTTCTCGACTGCCGGCTCGTCTTAAGACAGAATAAAGACCAGCGTTCGAAAAGAATCGAGTACCAGCCAAAAAGTTCTTTCACGGACGCGATTACTCCGGCTGACGGAGGTCACGACCCAAACGATCTAGAAAACAGTGCCTCCGTGCATAGAAAGACACGGGTGAAAGTTAATGAATGTGATGTCCGGTGAGGTTTCGAACCAGAAGTATGTTGCGTGAAACCCTCCCCTACAATGCATGGAAGGCGAAATCGGGCTGGGGAAAAAAACAGAACTGCGGTTTTCTCACTGCAAAAATAGACTATAAGTCGCCGAACGCTCATTCTCCACCCGAATGTAGACCTAGCACTTGGGAGTAGATGCCTAAGTTTGAGCACCTACTGTTACCTAACTCAAAAGTTACGAGCAATTTTTGGAAATTTCCAACGAAAATATGGCAGCGGACAGAGCCCGCAGACACATGGAGATTAACGACGTCTGCTACTGGGCCATTTTATCTCATTAAAAATTCCCAAAAATTGCTTACAACTTTTTAATTGGATAACGTTAAGCTGCGAAACTTTGGCACCTGGTCCGAACCACTAATATTACATTTGAGCGGAGACTGAGCACTCGGCAACATGCAGTAAACTTCTGCAGTGATGAGCACGTGATTTCCTTCCAGACAGCCGGTTTTTAGGGAGCAATCGCTTGAGTTTGTTTATTAGGCATTAAACAGCCTTTTTGGGCAGGAAATTATATATTTATTAGTAATTTACCTCTTTCGTAAGAACTGGTGACCCCTGTCAGAGACTCGGTTGGAGAATTCCTGGTAGGAAACTTGCAAAAAGAAATGGCCCCAGTAGGAAGGTGAAAGGCTTCTTTGTAATAACTTGGGCGCGAAAAAGATAAGCCAAAAAAGAGCAAGAAAGCATAGTTTTGGGAGCTCAATGTGGGTCACCATAGCCCAATGGAACCAACAAGACCTAGTGTCGCCCCACAAAACAATGCTGGAGCTCGCACGTGTCTCGCCCACGCAACTCCTCCAGCAACATCGGCTCGAGTAGCAGAGACGACGAGGATTGCTCGTATGTCCAGCACGAATTCGACTGCCTTTTCGGACCTCCGCAGAAGAGGCCGAAAATCGAGACATACTTGGACACCGTTCAGGAGTATTACAAAGAAGAGGCGAGTGGGCTACGCCGATGCACATCGCTCATCGACACACATCATTCATATCATGTTTAACTTCGCTCGTGCATTGAACACGTGTTGTTAGCTTTGCGACTGCGAAAACATGTGCTTCGAAATTCAGGATCACAAAAAGGGGATTCTCGGGAAGGGGAACAACTGGAACGCATCCGCCGATCCCAGAGGAGCGGTCATGTTCGACGAAAATCCGGAGACGGATCGACTTCGTTCGGATCGCGTGCTCCATGTCGGATCTGGTCTACTGATCCCGGCACCATCCAAAACGACCAGTAGAGAATTCACCATTAGACCGAGAGCCCCTACAGGCAACACTGAAGCGTGAAGACAGACACGGTACAAAGTGGGCCGTAAACCATGTTCCCAAATGACTACAAGACATTTTATGGTAGGAAAAGAATGCTTAGACGCTCATTCACTCAGAAGCAGGAAAAAATGCTCGACATAACTCTGTTTAGGACTGCCTGCACAACCTGAAGGTCTGTACATTTTGTGACGTCACACAGCTGGGGAGCGCGCGGAAATTAGAATGCTGGTTTCGGCATCATCTTTATTTACGGTTTTTTCGATAGATACTTTGAATTTCGCGACAATAAATAGCGTACCGCGATGACTAAAGTCCGGGTATTAAGAAAATGCAATTTGTTTGCATTTTCTTTGCATTTTCTCAATAAATGGCCAGAGTACCCCATCAGTACAAAACCGAGCTGCCCGATTTAACTTATCATCGTATGACCACTTCACCAGCGTCTCTTCTCTAAAAAGTCAACTCGGGCTTATACCCTTACTCATTCGAAGGAAACTCTCCCGTTTATGCCTTCTTCATAAAATTTATTATCATTGCCCAGAACTAAAGAACGCCCTGCTCTCACCCCCCGATAGAATATCCTCCCGCCTAAAAAACTCTTGTGCAATAAAACATATTTCAGGTAAAACTAACTCATTCAACAAATCATTCCTCCCATATGCCATCTCACAGTGGAACCAGTTGCCATCCTCCATCGTCAGCACCTCTGATGGAACAGTGTTTTACGATAATCTACTAGCCCATTATGTATAATTTCTCATGTTCTTGTTTATAGTTACTGTTATTATTCTACTACTGCGTCTGCTATTGCATTCTTCGTTCTACTGCCCTCCCCTTATGTAATGCCCTAACCGGGCCCTTAAGGCGAAAATAAATGAAATGAAATGAAATGAAATGAAAATGTTACCGTAAATCCCAAGGGATAGTTCACCTAAAATTGAGAGAAAATTGGCTGAAAATAAGCAGTGGGCCAACTTTCAGTGTACAATCAAGGAAAGTAAAAAAAAACTATTTTTAGATCATGCCTCTGTCAAGCTTGTTATCTCGGCAAGGGGCAATGAAGCAAACTTTTCTAAACTTCCCAGTCCGCAATGTTCGCTTATATTCCGCCATAGATAACTAGACACATTTACGCCAAGGTCATCATTGATCCCAAAACTATGATTACTAGGAGTGGGCTATCTTTCAGTGTTTAAAAGAAAATAGCAAATCAAGCCAAGAATTGGGGTGGGCTGCCTTTCGATGGTGGGGCATCTCTCGGGATTTTTTTGTTCACCACAAAATATGGGCGACAGGAGAGGATTAGAAGGTGGTTTGACGGGAGCATATTTTGTTTGGTATCTTCTTTCCGTGCATAGTCAGTACAATGCATTGGAACGAACGTGCCAAGACACAGCCAGTTTGCTCTCGTGGACATGCAGGATTTTGCCAAAATGATTATCATCGGGGGCGTGGAATAACTATTTTCGTGGCTGCCATCACCCCCTAAATACGTCACTGGCTCTCCCACTTTCAACCGCGACTACATCTTCCCTGGACCGTTTCTCGATCCGACGTCAAAGTAAAGGTTCTGTATGTTGATATTCGAAGGCATACCCGCGTCCGTTGTTCCAGTGTTTCTGTTCGCACATGATGCGGCCCGCTGCAAGACTAGCGTGAAGCTCGGATTCATTCGCGTCCTCGCGGTGTAACCGTCAACGACGGCAACTCATCGCCACGTTTTCCGTATATTTGTGCCCAAGACGCTTGTGCGTTCGACGACAGAGCAACACGTGCCGGTGTTAATGATTAATAAAACGAATAAGATAAGTATTTTACGCTCCCGATATTATCAAACTGCTCTTCTCTGGCTGGCAGATGAGGCTGACCTACTGGGCAACAGACAACTGCGGCTGTTTTCGTCGGCACAAGGGGGGAATCTGTGTTTTCGATTTTCGTCTCTAGTGTAAAACAAGTTAGCGCCAAATGTGGCCTTGAACGCCTGTGTAGCACGACGCTCAAGTAAGCGTAACTCGATTTGAAATGACTGACACAATGCTCTCTGCCTGTCGGCTCCTGCAGCATGATGTGCACGCAAAATGGCTCTGCTGGAAGTTGCGCCGTGGAGCAAATGTCTCGTTGCGCGCTTCCAATGCGGAGAGCAAGTCGTCTGCTTCTCGCGCGAGAGTTGCGGTGACGTCAGAACGACGCCGAGCTGTGATTGGCTTTGTTGATTGAAAGGATAGTGGGTAGGTCTGAATGCTAGATGCCTTAAGGTCTATACACTACTTTTTTTCCCTCAGCCAACAACATCTCGGCGTTCTACATTATAGCAACCCCTGTGCAAAAAGCAGACGAACTTGCGCTCCGCATACAATCGGGGAACATAGTATAAGGTGCTAATTGACACAATAAGTCAAAGAATTATACAAAATCTGTCAATCAACTTTTTAATTTGTGAAAATGAATGTATGGTTTTAATTAGAAACTTGCCAAGGGTCATTGAAAACTAGTAAGTCAGTAAATTTCTGAGATTTGGGGCTCTAAACTCGTCAAACACAAAGTGGGGTTGAAGTTGCCAGAGCGTACCGATTGGACTATTACGACGATGACTTTGCGCTTTTGTTGCTGGCGTCCAATCGGCGCGCTCCGTGAACTTTCGGCTTTAACTTTGTGTTTGACGAGTTTAGGGCCCTTGGATGAGTGCTGAAGTTACCAATCGTATAAAAGACACAAGGCTAACAGAACGAAAACGCAAATGGTAATCACACCGCACACTTTTCGTCCGTGTTTTTTGCACTGCCAGTCTGGAACCTCTTCCACGAGTGGAAACTTCAGCAATTTCCACATGCTCCAAATCTTTCTAAAATGTGCCGATATCCCGAGTTTCTATGATACTCCGCAAGTTCCTAATTGGAACCATGTTCACTTTTCTAAATTAAAAAGTTAATTAACAAATTTTAGCTCATTAGCCAACTTACTGCAATGATTACTCCCTACATTATGTGCCCCTGGTCTTATAACTCGCTCGCGCAGACTGCGCTCGCGTAGCTTCCACAGATTTTTTTTTTTTTTTTTAACAAACTGTGAAGCCTAAATAAACACCCCGTTTGTTGAAATCTGCTAAGTACTTGCACACAGTTTTGGTCATGCTGCCGTGGCAACCCAACTGGCTGTGCTGACATGCCCCGCTATGGGGCACGTTTAAACAAATGACCGGGACGGATGACCGGTTTGTTTTGTTGTTCATATTTGCTATAACTTTTTATTCT